CCCAAGAGTGTGAACACAGTCTTCATTGTGAAAGTTGTTTGGCTGGTGTTTCGCCCAGTAGTGAAAGTCAAAAGATGTTCCATCGCTCCACACAAATGTCCCTTCAGAGTTGATATCAGTGAGGCCCAACCAAGAGTGTTCCCCACCGTGTAGACTCTGAACATACACGTTTTCTTCCTGACTGTGAATACTTGGAAGATTTGCTCCCAGTGTAGCGCAGGTCCCTTGGCCACCACTCCACGAATCACAGGAAGATACATTTCTGTAGCAATATCCATTGAAATAGGTCCAGTCATCCTGACAAACATCTGTGATTAAAGCGTAAGGAAATTAAAGACCAGCTGTCTCAGCGCAACCAGACTGGGGATTCACTAGTACTCGGGAGGGTGGTAGGAGTGTCGCTACTCATCGAGATTGTATGTCAATGTGTGACATGTGTCACTGTACCTCACGGCCATTATAAAGAAAGATAATCGAAGCAAAAGTTTAGTGAAGATTTCAGATCTCACGTCCAATGTTTTAACGATTCTATGCCACTAAGTCTTTACAGTTTTAAAAATCAAGGTTGTCCTGAAATGAAAGGGCAAAACTTCTCTAGAGCTCCATCTTTTGATCTACTTTTAATTGCTCCTTTTGTAAGATTACAACATATTAATCTATTCGGGGCGAGGGGCCTCGCTGTATTTATGCTTTCTGAGAGGTGATATTTATACAAATTTATTAAATCTAAGCAATTCTTGCCCACCTGACAGTACTGCATATGACACAGTTAGTGGATCAAAGCGTTTAACAAAAAGTTCCTTGACACAAATTCGAAATCCGGATTTGGTGATAAACTGAGAAAAAGAGACCAAAACATAAAAAAAAAAGGAAGGTTAGATAATAGAAACTATGATATCCTTAAGTAATTTCCCTACGTTTTCATCGTATGCTTGCCGGGAGAAATAAAAGCCTTGTTAGCTTTCAAGATTACCTCTATCCAGGTGACGATTCCGTTACACTCTGCGGCTGTTCTTCCACCACTGGCTGAATGTTTTGCTGTTAACACCACCGTTGGAGCTTTAGTGTAGTTCCTTAAAAAACTCAAGTCCTGAAAAAAAAAAAAAATGCATCAGGGAACAGAAGTAAGCCTAGTTTGACATTCATACTGATAACGTGAGTTATACGCGCACCTCGTAGCTTTTAAAATGTCACCACACCAAGTTATTATTACGACCGTGTGCCTGCTGTTGACTGATAGTTTCATCCACTTAGCTTGCAACTCGCGTTTTTATCAAAAGGTTGGGAACAGATAGATAATAGCTACAAAAGGGAAGCTTTAAATTAGGAACATTAACAATTCATCCAACCACCTGAATTATTTTAAAACTAGATTTTTCATTCATTAATAGACCAGTTATGACTTGTACATGGTCATATGCGTCAAATTATGCAATGGATGGCGCGTTTTACGTTTGTTGTGTTTGGCATATATGGCATATATGGCAGATTTTGCTTTCGTTTATTTATTTTTATTTTTTATTTTTTTCTTACAATCGTCGTTTGCAATAGCTGGTATGTATTTTAATGTCTCTACATGCCGTATGCGCACAAATACCAGTAGCCGTTGGGTTTGGAATACAATTAAAGCTTCTTGTCGTGAATAGGTCGTGATTCGATTCCTGTTCTGTGGCGGAATGAAGGAAATTGAGCATTTGTATCGAAGTTTTAAAGCCCGCTTAAGGAGTTTTCATAAGTCTAGATGCTATTAAAATAGGAAGTACACAAGCCCAACGCACGCAAATCAAGGTAAAAAAAACATAACCTCAGAAGGAATAGGAAACCCATCTTCAAAACGCTCACCTGGCAAAATGCGAAGTTATGATTCTCTGAAGGCGAAACGTTATTTTCAAACCTTATATTATCGTGTTCGGAAAAAAGTGGTCTGTGGAGGTCCTCGAACGCCAGCCAGTTCTATAACAACATCAAAAAGGTATGTTATGGAAATCAAATGTGTTTTATTACAAGAGAAGAATATATCAAAAATGTAGATCGACTATTGATATCAGCTCATCTCTACAATATTAGATGTTCTTCTCTTCACTTTGCAGTTTTGTTAACAATGATACAATAACCGTGTCAATCTTGATTGAAACTTTTCTTTCCGAAATGTCATCGATATGTCGGGTCAAGTGCCAATATTGCAAACAA